TCATTTATTTAATTTTACCAGAGAAAGAGGGAGAGAAAGTGAGAAAGCAAACTGCCAGGTCCAGGACTCAAACCGTGGTCAGCCATGTGGGAATCCAGTGACCTTAACCACCATGCCACCAGCTGGACCCTTAATTCACTAATTTTCAGTCTTAAAATTGAGATGTTTTTATTACCAGCTTCAAGTCTGAAGCATCTACAATGAAAATGACAATATTTTTATCTATTGCTAAGATACTGAAATTATATTGCATTATTTCCCAGAGTCATTCTTAGAATCATATTTTTAGGCTAGGATTCTCCAATGGGGTAATGAGGATGGTTCCAGGAAGAGAGGACATTGGGATACAACACCTTGCCTGTAGTTTCTTGAAATATAAAAATAACATCCTGGGGGTCAGTTTGTGGCATGGAGTTTAAGGTACTGGACTCCCACATGCCCGACCATGGTTCAAGTCCTGAACATGGCAACTTACTTTCTCATTCTATATTTTTTCTCTGTCTGTCTCTGATGACCACATCTGCCCTATAGCAAATTAAATAATAAAAATAATAATAATGGATAAAGTTAAATAAATAAATAATTAAGAGTAAATAAACAAAAATAACATCCCGACATTAAACCCAAGAATATGTTTTAGAGACTGGTATCCTATCCAGTGAACCAAGAAAGTGCCTCCCAAACAGTAATGTTACTCTTCAGTAGCTAGAAACATCTTAATTTAATCTGTCCATTTGAGAAGATGGAGATACGGTGTGAATAAGTCAGAGTGGATTCTAACCTCAATTATTCAAGAATAAGATTTTGAGTTGATTTGAACTCCTCTCTCTCTCCCAGAGAGTGAAAGAATGCAGGATAAAGGAAAAGCTAGTACACCTAGGTTCATAAATCTTACAGTGTTTACAAACTCTCCTGGCCCACTGTCCAGTGTACACTAGGCTGTGGTGAGCAAGGTCCAGAATCGTATTGAATGTGAATGTGTGTGTGTGTGTGTGTGTGTGTGTTTAACAATTTGTATTTTAATAGAAAACAGAGTTGTTTGTTGAATTTGTGCTACTATAAATTATCTTTTTCTTTTTGCTGTTTTCCTTTCTTCACATGGATAATCGATCATGAAGAGTCGATTGTTCTGCCTTTCTTTAGGATCCTAAAGAGAGATCTAAGTGGGAGGAGAGCAATGGATAGAGTACGCAATAATTTCACATCTCTTTAAGTCTGTGACCATTTCCTGAGGAATTAAAATAGCCTTCCTCCAGTTGTCTTAACAGTCACAAACATGAGACTGTTACTAGAGAATGAGATGGGACCAGCAGTTAGCGTAATGGCTATGTCGCTGGACTCCCATGTAGTTAACTGTGGTTCACATCCCGGACCCGGTGGCTTAAAACTCATGCCGGGTGCGTGTGTGTGTGTGTGTGTGTGTGTGCTCAAGATCCCGGGAGGAGAATGGAGGAGAAGGGATTGTGGCGTGACCATCCCCCCTAGGGGGTGATTTCTCACTTTCTGTCTCTCTGTCTCTGTCTGGCGAACGCACGTGCCCTATAACAAAAACCTCTCCAAAAAAAAAAGGAGAGAGAGAGAGAGAATGAGAGGGGTTTGGGCTCTGGAGAAGAGCAGAAAAGAGAAATCAAACAGTAGGACACAGAGGGAGATTGGAGTGGAAAGTGTTATCCAGTAAGTTTAAAAATAATTCTCAGCCCAACCTAGAAAAAGATCACACATTTTGCTAAATTACTAGGCAGAAATTTCAGTAATATAAGGTATTTTTGTTTTATTTTCTGACATTATGTTCAAAAATAATGATGATGATGGGTTCTTCAACACCCTTGAAAAAATTCTTAGATTTCCCTCCTTCTTTTTCATCAACAATGACTATTATTTGTACCAATTTTTTCTTTGTTGTTTTAAGCAGGGATGTGGATTCTGTTTTGTAGGGATGAGGATGAGGCATTGTATGTGTATGTGGGTAAGGAGAGTAGCCCAGAAAGATAACAGCAAAGAGTCATAGGAACTTAATTTAAACTCCAAAGCCCACTTGACATTCACAAAATGTGAGTCCTACCCTACAATCCCCATTTGAGAAATAAAGTAACTAGTTCTGAAATTTTATGTAATATGTTTTCTTAACTATAGAGACAAAAAAGGGATGTTTTTTCAAACCCCTAATCAGACATTCTATCAGTAAATTAGACCAAAGAGATATTACCTTTCAAATATCCATTCATTTTCCTTCTCTGAGAAACTGGTGAATATTCATATCAAGCCTTTTTTTGCTATTGATCCTTTGGGTCTGCTAAAAAGTTACTTCATTCAAATTTGATTGCCTTGTTAAGTAAACAAAAATGGGAGAATTCTCCATTTTATAGGTAAGTACAGCTATGCAATCACTCTAGTCACATAAATTATCTTTTTTAAGTTTTTTTTTTTAATTGGGCATATGAGATCACCAGAGAAAGACAGAGATAGACAGTGAGAGAAAAAAATCACCCCCACGGGGGATGGCCATGCTGAAATCCCTTCTCCTTCATTCTCTTTCTGGGATTTTGGACACACACGAACACATATTTGCCTGGTGTGATCCTCAAGCTGCTAGATTCAGGACTCAAACTGGGGTAAGCCATGTTGGAATTCAGCACCTTAGCCACCGTGCCATCTGCTGATCCCTACAAACTGTCTTTGTTAAATTATGATTTTTAGTTTGCACATAATCAATGTATATCTTTGAGAGCTACAGTATGGTCTTTTAAGGTATGCATACAGTGTACAGTAATCAAACCAAGGATATATCTAGAGAACGGGCAGTTAGGTCTTCTACCTCCTTTCCATATGTAGTAGCTGGAAATGCTTTGCTTATAGTGAAAGGTTAGTATGGAGACCATCTTCCTGGGACAACAGTGGTACCAGGGATCTTCAAAAAGTTTGTGTAAATCATTGGGAACCAGCAGTTAGCGTAATGGCTATGTCGCTGGACTCCCACGTAGTCGACCGCGGTTCGCATCCTGGACCCGGTGGCTTAAAACTCACGCCGGGCGCGTATGCATGCGTGCCCAAGATCCTGAGAGGAGAACGGAGGAGAAGGGATTGTGGCGTGACCATCCCCCCTGGGGGGTGATTTCTCGCTTTCTGTCTCTCTGTCTCTCTCTGTCTGTCTGGCGAGTGCACGCATTGTATAGCGAAAACCTCTCCAAAAAAAATAAAGTTTGTATAAATCGTGTATTATTATAACAAATCCATTCATTAGGGGTAAATTTGGAATTTTTTTTGAGGGGGAGAGGTTTTTACGAGAGGGTATGTGTGCTCGCCAGAAAGAGAGACAGAAAGCGAGAAATCACCCCCCAGGGGGGATGGTCACGCCACAATCCCTTCTCCTCCGTTCTCCTCTCGGGATCTTGGGCACGCATGCATACGCGCCCGGCGTGAGTTTAAGCCACCAGTTCCAGGACTTGAATCGCCCTTGATTCCATGGGAGTCCCACAACATAGTCATTATCCCAACTGCTGGTCCCTGAATTTGGAAATAATTTTATACCCCCAAAAAAACTCATAGTTTAATTTCATTTTCCACAAACTTTTCTTTCTTTATTTTGGTTTTGATCTTGTTTTTGCTGTGTTTGCTGAAAAGAGAAAGAGACGGACAGATAAAGAGAGAGGAAAAGTGAGAAATCCCCCCCCCCCCCCACCCGAGGATGGTCATACCACAATCCTTTCTCCTCCATTCTCCTCTCAGGATTTTGTGCACACATGCACATTTGCCCAGTATGAGCTTCAAGCCACTGGGTCCATGACTTGAACCACATTTGTCCATGTGGGAGTCCAGTATCATAACCACCACTTCACAGGCTGGCCCTTTTTCCCAAGCTTTTCAAAGTCCTGTTGCATAATGGTGAAGCATAGAACTGAGAATCAGAAAGTTCTAATTTTACTTCTCTGTGACCTTGGATTAGTTACTCCCCTTGACCTAATTTAAATAAATAAATAAATAAATAAATAAACAAACCTTATAATCCTATCATCTTCCTAAAGCTCTTCATTCAAACATTTTACTTTTCATCATAATACAAGAGGATATTGGCACTACTGTGATAGTGTATGCCGGATGTCCCATGTGGGTTCAGTTATAAGCCCACTTGAAAAAGATGAATGTGGTGGTGCCTATAATCATAGTTTCTCAGGAGGCCCTACACAGGATGATCGTAACATAGGAAAACCCAGTCTTTAAAAGGACAAACAAAAAGATGTAAAGGCAGGAGAGCTCCTGTTGTGATGAATTTATTAATTTTCTGGTGAGGGAATTTGTCAGTTTAAATAACAAGACTCTGGTGTTCGGGACATGGAAGAAAATGACTTTGTCTGTGCCCACAGCCAGTCATGATCACCAGGGTTCTGGAAGTAGATAATCGTACTACGACAACGCATTTTATTCTTCTGGGATTTCCAACACGACCGTCCTTCCAGCTTCTCCTCTTCTCCGTTTTCCTGGCAACCTACCTGCTGACACTCCTAGAGAATTTTCTTATTATCCTTGCCATTCGCACTGATGGGCAGCTGCACAAACCCATGTACTTCTTTCTGAGTCACCTCTCTTTCCTGGAGATGTGGTATGTCACAGTCATCAGCCCCATAAACAAACCTTATAATCCTATCATCTTCCTAAAGCTCTTCATTCAAACATTTTACTTTTCATCATAATACAAGAGGATATTGGCACTACTGTGATAGTGTATGCCGGATGTCCCATGTGGGTTCAGTTATAAGCCCACTTGAAAAAGATGAATGTGGTGGTGCCTATAATCATAGTTTCTCAGGAGGCCCTACACAGGATGATCGTAACATAGGAAAACCCAGTCTTTAAAAGGACAAACAAAAAGATGTAAAGGCAGGAGAGCTCCTGTTGTGATGAATTTATTAATTTTCTGGTGAGGGAATTTGTCAGTTTAAATAACAAGACTCTGGTGTTCGGGACATGGAAGAAAATGACTTTGTCTGTGCCCACAGCCAGTCATGATCACCAGGGTTCTGGAAGTAGATAATCGTACTACGACAACGCATTTTATTCTTCTGGGATTTCCAACACGACCGTCCTTCCAGCTTCTCCTCTTCTCCGTTTTCCTGGCAACCTACCTGCTGACACTCCTAGAGAATTTTCTTATTATCCTTGCCATTCGCACTGATGGGCAGCTGCACAAACCCATGTACTTCTTTCTGAGTCACCTCTCTTTCCTGGAGATGTGGTATGTCACAGTCATCAGCCCCAAGATGCTAGTGGACTTCCTTACCTATGACAAGAGTATTTCTTTCAACGGCTGCATGACTCAACTTTACTTCTTTGTGACCTTTGTCTGCACCGAGTACATACTCCTTGCTGTCATGGCCTTTGACCGTTATGTAGCCATTTGTAATCCACTCCGTTACCCAGTCATTATGACTAACCAGCTTTGTGGTGTCTTGGCTGGGGGTTGCTGGCTCTGTGGGCTCGTGACAGCCATGATTAAGATGGTTTTCATAGCCCGACTCTACTATTGTGGCACGCCCCACATCAATCACTACTTTTGTGATATCTCTCCACTCCTCAATGTCTCCTGTGAAGATTCCTCACAGGCTGAAATGGTGGACTTCTTCTTGGCCCTTATGGTCATTGCTGTTCCCCTTTGTGTAGTGGTGGCATCTTATGCCACCATCCTCACAACCATCTTTAGGATCCCTTCTGCTCAGGGCCGTAAAAAGGCATTCTCCACCTGCGCCTCTCACCTGACAGTTGTAATTCTCTTCTACTCCACAACCCTTTTCACCTATGCTCGCCCCAAGCTCATGTATGCCTACAATTCTAACAAAGTGGTATCTGTTCTCTACACTGTCATTGTTCCTCTCCTCAACCCCATCATTTACTGTCTAAGGAATCGTGAGGTAAAAGCTGCCCTCAGGAAGACTATACTTTGCAAAGGAAATGTGCCTGGGGAAGATGAGACTTCGAGTAGCTAAAACATTTATGGGATTCTATTAGGCCTGACTCTGACTCAGGAGATGATTGCTACACATTTTCTTCTCCCTCAGTATCAGCCTCCTGTACTTTAACACTGCTCTCCTTTGGGGGAGGGGGAGTACTTGCACCAATATTACTAGATAACCATTTCCCAAGAATAGTTTCTACTACTAGGTAAAGAGACAAATTTTAAACATTTTTATGAAAATTATTTTCAATGAGTAAGAAAGAAAGTGAAGAAATGGAGGAAGGAAGATAGATAATTTTTCATAGAACTTTCCAAAATTAATCTGGATAGAATAAATAGTTTAATATGAAAAATAGAAACACCTTTTTACTCACAGGTTAGGAAAGGGCTTTGTTGTTGTTTTATTCTATAATTGCTTATTTAAATTTAATCATTTACATCTTCATAGTGTACAATGTGGTTTTTTAAAGCATAGATGTAATGTGTGATAATCAAATAAAAGATATTACTACGCATATCATTTTTTGGAGAGGTTTTTGCTATAGGGTGTGTGTGCTCGCCAGACAGACAGAGAGAGACAGAGAGATAGAAAGCGAGAAAATACCCCCCCGGGGGGATGGCCATGTCGCAATCCCTTCTCCTCCATTCTCCTCTCAAGATCTTGGGCACACACGCACACATGCCTGGCGTGAGTTTAAGCCACCGGGTCCGGGACTCGAACCATGGTCAACTACATGGGATTCCAGTGACATAGCCATTATGCCAACTGCTGGTCCCATATGCATATCATTTTTAACAGAGAACTTATACATTCTTATGTTGCTTGCTGTTTGTTTGTTTTTCTGAGCCTCTCTTTCCCATCCCCTATTACCCAGCTATCCTATCTATCCCCTCCTACTTAGTCTCTATACTAATCTACAGTTTCCCTCCCTAATATTAGATCTTTAAATCTTTCCATTTCTGCCATACAGTGCAGACATTTGGTATATATTGAGAGGGGATATATAATGTGTGTCTTTCATAGTCTGCCTTGCTACTCTTAGCATTAACTCCTCTATATTCATCTTCTTGGCAATGAATGACAGAGTCCCATTGTTCTTTATGGTTGAGTAGTATACCAGAGTGTATATGTGCCGCGTTTTTCCAATCCAGTCTTCAGTTCTTGGACATTTGGTTTGATTCTATGTTTCAGCAATTGTGATAATGTTGCAATAAACATGTATATGCAGGTCTTTTTCTGACTGAGTTTTTTTCTGTCATTTGGGTAAATACCAAGATTGAGATAACTGGGTCATTCGGTAATTCTATTTGTAAGTTTTCTGAGGAACTTCCATATTGTCTTCCACAGGAGCTGTACTAATTTATATTTCTACCAACAGTGTAGGAGAGTTCACTTTTCACCCCAATATCTCCAGCACATGTCCTTCATTTATCTGATTACAGCCATTCTGACTGGGGTTATGTGGTATCACATCAAGAATTATATTTACATTTCTCTTATGATAAAAGATGTTGAACATATTTTCATATACCTTTTGGCCATTTATATATCTTTCTTGGAGAGTCGTCTATTCAGTTCATTTGCCCATTTCTTAATTTGATTATTTATTATTATTATTATTTGCAGTTGAGTTTCCTATATATTCTGGTTATCAGTGCCTTATCTGAAGCAGTTTGCAAGTATTTTTTCCTATTCTGTGGGTTTTCGTTTCACTCTAATTACTGCAAGAAAGGGTTTTTGCTTGTCCTGGAGAAGTAAAAGAAATTCATGAAACTAATTTAATTCCTAATTTGTGAAGACTTTAAAAAATAATAGATAAAATTTATAGTGAAAAAAAGAAGTAAAAATATTTCCAATATATATAATGTATAATATTAAAAATCCTTTGAAATAAACATTTAAAATTCAAGTTTTCTGTCAAAAATAGGCTAAGAATAAAAACATACTAAACAAAACTTTAAAATAATGTAGATAGTCTTTATAGGTTGAATTATATATCCCCCCTGCCAAAAGAAAAAAAAAAAAAGGGAAAAAAGGATATATTGAAGCCTTAATCTCCTATATTGCAGAATGTGACCTTATTAGGAATAAAGTTTTACAGTGGTAATCAAGCTAAAATTAAGAGAATAAGAGGGGCCCTAATCCAATATGACTGGTGTCATTGTAACAAGAGGAAGTTAGGACATGGTCACTAATGTCCACAGAGTGAAAACAATGTGTGAAGATATACAGAGGAGAAGTTAGTCGTGTTACTGGAGTAAAATGTCTACAAGCCATGGAAATATTTTTGGCACACACCAGAATTTGGAAGAGGCAAGAAAAGATTCTCCCCTAGAACTGTCAGAGAGAGCTGACTCTGCTAATCCCTTGATTTTTGACTCCGAAACTCCAGAATACTGAGACAATAAATTTTTATTCTTTTAAATCATCTGAGTTTTGGTACTTCGTAATGATGGCCCTTATAAACTAATAGAATAACCAAACAATATCAGTAATATTTAAGGTAAACATTAATAACTAAAATTTGAATGACATTGAAATACTAAAAAATTTTTAAATGATAATTCATATGGAAGATATTGCCTATTATGGATAGCATTGTAAAGACATAATTTGTATTATATTTCCTTTGTTGAAATAAGCTATGTCAAACATTAGAAGTCAGTATGGAAATATGCCACTTCTTTTACCTTTTAATTTCAAGTATGAGATTCTGTGTTCGAGATTATTTATGAAGAGATATACATATAAATATTCAATTGAGCACTCTTAATAAAATATTTAAAGCTTTTACATATTCCGAACAAAACAAAATGCTTAAGTAAAATGTTATCAATTAGAATACTGTGAGTTATAATACCTGATTATAATTGATACAATGTTGAGGGTTGAGCATGATTTCTCACCTTCTGTTTCTCTGTCTCTGTCTCTATCAGTGAGCACATGTGCCCTATAGCAAAAATCACTCTTTTTAAAAAAAGGGCAGAAATTGGGACCAGCAGATTGCTTAGTGGTTACACCACTGGATTCCCACCTAGTCGATCATGGTTTGAGCCTTGGATCCAGTGGCCTAAAATTAATGCTGGGTGTATGTGCACTCATGCCCAAAATCCTGAGAGGAGAATAGAGAAGAGATTGTGGCATAACCATCCCCCAGAGGGTGATTTCTCACTTTCTGTCTCTCTGTCTCTTTCTGTTTCTTCAGTGAGCATACATGCCTTACAGCAAAAATCTCTCTAAAAAAAGAAGGCAGAAATTTTTAAAATGCTGTGTGTCATCATTCTCATAATTTCCGGAAAGGCATGCCCCATCAACAATGAGGTGGATAAGAATTATTTAAAATATCCAACTCTGTGCTTTCTACAAGAGAAGCATGTTAGACTTAGACACAAATAAGTCAAAAGTAAATAAATAGAAAAAGCTATTTCACATACAAAAGAAATCAAATGGTTCTGGAAAACCTGGTTATCCATCTGCAGAAAGATGAATCCGAACTTCTACCTCTCACCATTAACAAAAATCTACTCAAAGTGGATCAAAGATCTAAATCTAAGACTGCAAAACTATAAAATTGCTGCTGGAAAACACTGGGGAAACTCTGGGAGACATTGGGGTAGGGCATTGGGGAAGGGAAAGACTTCTTAAGTAAGACCCTCAGAGCACAGTCAATAACCCCAAAAATATACAAATGAGATTACATCAGATTAAGAATTTTCTGCATGGCAAAAGACACAGTAATTAGTGTGAATCGACAGCCTTCAGAATGGGAAAAGATTTTTGTAAACTATACATCAGACAAGGGACTGATCACCAGAATACACAAGGAACTCAAGCAGCTGTCCTACCCCCCCACCAAAGGATCAATCCTATTAAAAGATGGGAGGATGAATTGATAAAAACACTCTCTAAGGATGACATACAAATAGCCAAAAGACATGAAAAAATGCTCAACATCCCTCATTGTAAGGGAAATGCAGATCAAAACAACAATGAGATACCACCTAACCCCAGTCAGAATGACTAAGATTAAAAAAAAAAAATGATAAGTGCTGGAGGGGGTTGGGTGAAAGGGGAACTCTCTTACATTACTGGTGGGAATGTAAATTGGTCTAGCCACTGTAGAGAACAATTTGGAGATACCTCAAAAATCTACAAATAGAAATACCATATGATCCAGCAATCCCACTCCTTGGTATCTACTCAAAGGACAGAAGAATCCTTAGTCAGAAAAGTGCTTGCACATTGATGTTTATTGCGACATTATTCATAATTGCTAAGACATGGAACCAACCCAAATGCCCACGAACAGATGAATGGATTGAAAAAGTGTGGCACATATACTCTATGGAGCATTACTCAGCCTTAAAAAACAAGACCCTGACTCTTGACAGAAAGTGTAGGAATATGGAAGATTTACTGCTGAGTGAAGCAAGCTAGGCTATGAAAGACATTGTATGTCACCACTTCATATATACCAATTGTCCACACTCTATGACCCAAACTGAATGACTAAAGGATATAGAAACGTAGTAAATGGTTGTGAATACCAGATACAGTGTGGGAAGAGGGAGGGTAAAAGAGTAGAGTCTGAGGAAGGACATTAAAGAGAAAATAGAGAAACAAGGTATTTATGGGACAAAGAAATGGGTTATTATCTGTTGAGGGGTAACCTTATAGTATTGTCAACTGGACCAGTGCGAAATGTACACATGTTGGAATTTTCACTTTGCAAACTAAGTAACGTGATTGAATGTATAAAGGAAAATGAAAAAATAATAAATAAATAAATAGACAGAAAAAGACATCACAGGAAAAGGAAAACATAAAGCAATTTTTATTTTTGTGTATATAGGCACAAAAATATCAAACAAAATATTATCCAATCAAACCCAGTAACATATAAGAGTTATAGCCATGGCCAAGTGAGACTTAACCCAAGAATGCCAGGATGCTTTAGTGTGTAAAGTAAATCAATGTAGTACATGATAACAATAGAATAAAGAATAAAAATAATCATTTCAGGAGGTAGAAAAAAGGCATTTGACAAAACCGAAACCATTCTCTGATTTTAAAAATAAATTTTAAAAACTCTTCAACCTAGGAATATAAAAGAATTTCTTAATTTGACAAAGGGCACTATGGAATACCTACAATTAACATCATACTTAATAGTAAAAGCTGAGTAAAAAAACCCTAAGATCAGAAACAAAAATATCTGCTCTCACCACTGTCACTCAACATGCCACTAGAGGTTCTATTCAGGTAAATTAGCCAAAATTAATTAATTAAGGGCACCCATATTTAAATGAAAATATAAAACCATCTGTATTTGCAGATGGCATGACCTGGTATGTAGACAACTCAGTAATACGCACACACACCAAACTATAGAAACTAATAAACAATTTCTG